GAGGGGGGTTTAGGGCAGATGAGGGGAGTGTGTTACTGTCGTCATGGGGAATACGGGCTGTGGAGGAGGAGGGTGGGGTATCCAGGGTGTGAATGGAGTTCAAGAGTAGTGAGTTCGTAGCGAATTAATTTGTGAGTAACTGATAATGTTATTCATCATGCATCTTACTCATAAGTCTGTGAGTATTTATTTTTGGAAGTTGGAAGTTATGACTTGTGTGATGTTATACTGTGTCGAAATAAATGAACTAAATGTTCAGTCTCCTTGCTGGTTCTTCTGACACATTCGGAACCATTTTCAAATATATAGATGTAAATAATTACATTAATAACATGAATATGCTATGACTAGTCGATTATTGGCTTTATCTAACAACTGCTGGTCGACAAGGAAAATCGTTCAGGAACAGGTATTCAAGTCAAGGTATTGTATCTGTGTTAAATACTTTATTTTTAACGAAACCCAGCCCTGAGCACAACTCCTCAAAGATCACACTAAAAACCCTACAAAGAGCTTCACTTCTCCTCATCCACGTCAGCAGGGGCCATGCAGGGGCAGAAGGTCTTCTTCATCCAAGAAAAGATCCGCAGATTGCAGTTCTTCTTCTTCTTTGTGCTGGTGTCATCTGAAAAAAAGGACATTAAATACCACAATGGTGCTCCAAATGAGCAACAATTCAGACACAAGCAGAGACTGTTTCTTACCACAGGTAGTGGTGGTTGTTGTTGGTTGTGGTTGTTCAGAGGGTTCTGTCGTATCACTTTCAGTGACTTTCACTGAGGGCTGTGATGTATTGTTCAGCCCAGCCTGCAAACTAAACACATGCACACGTATTACCATTCTGACCACCATTCCTTTTATTGTGTTGACATCTGAAAACAGTCAGGAAAACTTCAAAGGTGAACACACTCTCAAATTTGCTCTAATTCCAGCTGAACTGAACCATTTTCTCTCCTGTCTGAGAAATGGGTTTCTTTAAACCTTATTTTTTTTGGCCTTTTCTGGATAGAGACAGCTGAAGATTGACAGGAAAGGTGGGTAGAGAGAGGGGATGCCATGCAGCAAAAGGCCTGTGAAGGATTAGAACCCGGGCCGCTGCATAAACTACGTATATGGGTTGCCAGCTCGACCGACTGAGCTAACCCAGAAATGGGTTTCTTGACCAGAGGAAGTAATCTCACAGTCTAACCCGACCTCTTACCCCAACCCTAACCAGGACTTCAGAAATTCTGTTTTGCTGAAGTAGGACCGGTCCCCATGAGGATCACTTGTCCCGATAAGCCCAGTGTTGGTACCAGAATGGAAATATACCAACTCAAATCGGCTCCAATTCCAGATGAACTGAACCATTTTTTCTTCTGTCTGAGAAATTAGTTCCATGAACAGAAGAAGTCACCTCACCTAACTGTGGTGTCCTCATCTTCCAACTTCAGTGTGTTCTCTGCTGTGGCGGGTCGAACCATGATCACACGTGATGGTGGGGTTGTAAGAGATGTACTGCAGTGGTCTGGTGGGATCTTGGTGGTGTTGTCGTCCTTTGGATCAGAAGAAGGACACTCCCAGTCCGCTCCTGATGTCTCGTTCCCGCTACTGTGCAAACTAAACACACAGGGTAATATTCCTGTTTCTGTCTGAACGTCTTCAAAGAAATGTCTCCCTTCTACCTGAGGGATGAGTTTTATCACCAGAGGAAATAATCTCACCAAATGTTACTCTCCAGATGAGTACGCTTCCGCAGGGGTGCTGCAGGACGAACCGTAAGCGAACTGGATGGTTGCTGTGTCGTCTTCTTGGTCTCCTTGAATCTGGTCCTTTCCTTTGTTCTCCACTGAACAGATCCAGATGCTGAAACTTCACTGCTGCCAAAAGACAAACTCTTACTGTTACATTGATGTCCAGAAAACAGGGAAAGGACATTGATGAAATTATAAATCGTGAATAAAACAAAAGGACCCACATCTCACTACACACACACTTACCGCTTGGCAAAAAATGGATGAGCGAGGACTTCACTGGGTGTGATCCTCTCAGCCGCATCCATCTTCAGCATGGCCTTCAGGAGCTCAACACATTGCTCTCGCTCAACATCTTCAGCTTCATTATCCCACTCGAGACAAATCTAGTTTAGGAAACAATGGTCAAATTCACTATCAGTCAAGTAATCTACATGACTCATGAAAGGACAGTCAATCATAGTGACAATGAAAGCTACTTTACACGTACTTTTTTCAAATCATCCAGAGATCGTGTTTTGAGAACCGAGCAATACCCAAGAATTCCCCAATACTCGTCAGGTGTCTGTAGAAGATTAAATGTATTCGGATTTATTGTTCCTCTCAATAATCTAACTGATGAACTGTTCAATGTGGGGAAACATGTTATCATAATTAGAGAAGAAGATTTGGTCAGAAAAGTGTCTTTGTGGTACCTTAAGCCTCCAGCTATTAGACTTGGTCCTTTGGAAATACAGCTTTGTCTTTGTCCTGTTATCAAGCAGATGGTCCGGTGGCTGACCCAGGAGATGAACAATGTGCCGCAGCTGGAAATGAAACACAGCATCACATTAAGATGTGCAACATGAGCAGATCTTTTTTGTTGGAATGCTAATAAGTCCCATCATAGCTAACGAACAAAGTTACATGCAGTACAACCCTACATGCAGTAGTAGATAGAGTGGACAGCAAGTCCAAGTCCGACTTGGTTGATGACTTACTATTTCATATTCAGTATTTCCACAGAACAGTATATAGCCGCACATCATGGGGAGCATCACACAGCCGAGTGACCACATGTCAATGGCCTCTGAAAATGGTAGGCCCAAAATAATTTCTGGTGACCTAAATGTAGAAGAAAAGAATCACACAGAATGAGGACCTGTCATATTTTAAAGATTAAAAATGCAAGTCAGTACATAGTGGGAACATCTTACAGGGAACATACAACTGTTTATAGACCATACCTAAATAAAACTGTCTGCAGAGTCATGCCCAGCTTGGTTTCAGATGTGGGAATGGCCAAACCAAAGTCTATCAGCTTGACTCTGAAGGGTCGTTTATGGTCCACAAGCATTATGTTGTCTGGTTTAACATCTGTGTGTATGACCCCCACGCTCTTCAGCGCTTCGAATGCTGTAACCACCTGCAAGTATGAGATCAGTTATACACTGAAGTGAATGCACCACGGTTTAAAACTGTGTGTTTAGTGCTTTGCTATCTATCTGATGTATTCTTACCTGTTGGATGATGGTTCTGATATCACTCAGCAGCAAAGGGACATTTCGGTTCTTAAAAATGTAATCCTCTATGCTGATGTGCAATGTCTCAAACACCAGCGCCCTTCCAAATTTTATGTGGAACCAGCCCAAAAACTTGACTATATTTTTTTCGTCAAACTTGTGGTGCATAAACTTTTTCAACATGAAAACCTGGAGACACACCGGGTTCAGGTTCAACGTGATTAGTTGTTTACAGAAAGTTAATAGATCATGTATAAGAATCAGGGAAAACAATGTAGAAGTTGGACTATCACTCACTGCTGATAGTTGCATTATTGTACAAATAATCACAATATCTTTACATAGTAAACATTTGTCAATAGCTATACCTGTTAATGTATTATTTAATAACAGTAACTGAAGGAAATTGCCTTTTTGCAGTTGTTAATACTAAATATAACTTATTAAAACTTAATATATCTCTGACTATACAATGTTTTACAGCTGTGAACATCAAAATCAACTAAATGTCCCACCTCCTTTTGGGAATTTTGGAGGAACTTGGGGATCTTCAGAGCCACGTTTTGTTTGGTGTCCTTCTTCCAACATTTCAGGACCTCTCCAAAGCCGCCCTCTCCAAGAACTCTCAGGAACTTGTATTCACTGGGGAGTGGATAGCTGTGGTTATCACTACTTCTTTCCATTTCTTTTCTCGATAATCTGAAATGGGAGAAAACATGAAACTACAGATTGTATATATATTTAACACTGGTTTCCATCCTGTCATGGATTAGACAGAACATGTAAAGTAAACCAACAGCTTTGGGACAATTCATGCATTTAATTCCACACTTCTCCTCCTTCCGCAGTTCTCCTCACTGTCTGACTGTAACAAAACTGAGAGCATTTCCACAAGGTGTTAAGGTTCACTATCACGTTATTAACTATGCAATAAACTGCACTTTGGTTCACTTTACATTAACATGTAAATTCTCTCTCTGAGCTTTGACTCCAGTAAATAATAGAAGATACAGTAGGTAGCTCCTGTAAATGACTAAACACAATTTAACATTGCTCATTTCTCTCTTCTGTCTAACTCTGGTTGTGAATGAAAGGAGAACTGTAGCTCACAAACGCTGCTACATTGGAGAGAAAGAGAGAGTGACTTACCCGTATCACAGTGGTGGATTTACAGTCCACTTCTTTGGATTCCTTGGTTGAGATATTTGTGTTTGTATAACTCAAAGGTTGTTGTTTGTCCAACTGTTGAGAGTAAAATGAGCAGATTTCACCCAGAACCTCTTAATGTGTGGCAGTTGTTCCAGAACTCTTTTATGATGTCAGTCTCAGCTGAGTTCAGGACTAGGAGAGAATGTTCTGGCACCAATATCAGTTTAAATGTAAATACAATACTCTGAAGCATGCACTCTGAGATATAATTTAGTGAATATCTATTAAGTAGAAGTTTTAAAGGTGGGTTCAGTCATTCTGGAGAAAGATTGTTGGTTGTTGAGTCTCATTTCCATCCATTGTGTCGTGTGGCTCGGTCCAAGAGACTGTCTTTGTTTTCCATTTACTAAAACCCAACGCGTTAGTATGTGACAACCTGGATTGAGACTCAACAATCAACAATAATCAACAATCAATCTTTCTCCAGAATGACTCCACCTTTAAACTGTATCATCAGTCTCTGTGCTGTACGCTCTGACAGGCGATCACGATATAATAATAAGAAAGTGAATAATGCGTATATCATATAGCAGAGCACACTAACACCCACAAACACATTGGATGAGTTTGTTGGTAATAATAATAATAATAATAATAATAATAATAATAATAATAATAATAATTATTAAAGGTGCAAGCAGCGATAAACAGGCCCTCACAGTCCGTGTGTGTCGGGGCGTGCCGTGGTTGCGTTACGTGCACATCATGTGCTGACCACACTGAAAATTTCACGTAAATCCGAGGATGGTTGCCATATCCAATGACTTTTTTAAATTTTCTATGAAATTGTAATTCTAAAATAAAAGTCAGCAGTTAAAACAACCAAAGAGCTAATAGAACAATTAGAGGAAATTGTTGAATTTGTCACATTTGACTCCACCGGTCATGTTCCTAAATGTGTTTATTTTAATTCCTTTTAAACTGGATGCTATTTAACACGATTAATTACATAATAATTGGACTCACTATTTCACACACAAGGCAGACACAGTGATGCTGAGTAGGTTTCCTCCTAAACAAAAATACATGAATATATATATTTTTACCAAATCATAATCATTCTTCTTTTCTAAATTTCTGTCCACACGCTCCCTGGCAACTGCTGAAATACCTGTGATCATGTGACCAAAAGTTTTATGCATACAGCAAGTCAGGTGACAACAACTAAACCATCTGCTTGACAACTTGTTTTTGACAGGAATTACTAACAGATGGCCACTTAGGTGCAATCTCTAAATAAGGCAGTTCAATTTTTTATTTCAGTGTTTTCATGACCAGCAGGTGGAGGTGTTGCATTAAACAACAGCCGAGCTATATTTGTATTCCCAGAAAAGCTGCTTTTGTGTCTATTTTAAGGTCTTTTAGAGGCATTTTGTCTTTATTTGATACATGACAGCCGACAGACAAACAGAGTGAAAGAGAATGACATGCAACAAAGGTTCTCAGTCAGATTCATACCAGTGTTGCAGAAACACCTTAGACAACTAGCACACTGGTTTCCAACCTGGGGGTCCTGACTCCTATTAGGGTCGCCAGAGATTGATGTTTGGGGTGTAAAAAACCTTAAACCTCAATAACAAAATATATCCCAGCATTTCATTCATTTATGTAATGAAATCTAAAATTATTTAAAATTTAAATTATTATTCAAAATTTATTTTAATTATTAAAACTTTTAAAATAATCTCACAGGATAAGAGCACAGTGAAGACCTGAGCACTATATAAAAAAAAACAGAAAACACATAATTTAAGTTAATTTATTTAACTGTCTTTATTACATTTTTGAATTTTATGTCAAGCCTAAACTCTTTTTTCGTTTTTTCATATAAGTTGCTGTATTGATTGCTTATCAACATTGCTGGGCAATGTATTTATTACTCATTACTCAAAAGTAATATTACTTTACTCATTGCTCCCTGCCAACAGTAATTAGTTACACTACTAGTTATATTACTTTTCTGCTACTCCCCACAAAATTAGTAGTCAGTATGTTATACCTCTATTGCCAAAAATGTCGACTAACTGACAATTATAATTTGTGATAGTCCACGAGTCTTTGTCTTTATAAAACATCTATATTGTATTAAATGTATTCCCTCGGCATTTTCCAGCTGCTGAATTTAGCCTTTTTCTATGGGCAGATTTTTTCGTTTCGAGTAGAAACTTGAATTTGAAATACATTTTTAGAACTGAATCTGACAATTGCTCAACTTGAATAACTGTATTTTGGAATAAACTGGGATTGAATAGCATAATTTGAATTTGAATTTTATTAGTTTGAAACTGAATTCCAATAAACTGCAAACTGAAGTATTAATATTATGAATCTGGTAATTCACTTGCAACTCGAATAAAACTCGACACATTAGAATTAGCTCACTAATTTAGATGGGTCGCAGAACTAATGGAAATGAACCAGCAGCCAGTTTTGGAGGAGTTAATTTGATAAAGACTGTTGAGTGTTTGTTAAAAAGACATTCATAGCTTCCTATGATTAAAACATGACTATCTTAAAAAGTCAATCTTTTGAGTAAACAAAACTCACTGCATTAGAGAGAGGCCCCACATTTCTGTAACCAACACATAAAAACGTAGATGATCTCCACTATTGAGCTTATCACATTTAAAAAGTCTATAATTTTCAATTGATTAGAAATAAAAATCATTTAGTTCTTAATGCTATTTATTTGACCTCAAATTCATAGTGGTCGAATATACGTTATTTTCAAAATATCTAACCAATATATTGGTCATTAATTTCAACCTTTTATCTCAATTGAGGTTCAAAAACTTTTTTAAATTCTTATATATAGTTTCATAGATTTTTGTGTGCTGCGATTTCTCCACACTAAAACATACGACATTTTAATTAATATGGTTATGACTGTTTTATTCCAAGGCTTAAAGCTTCATCCTAATTCTTTTTCCTGGCAAGGGAAATTGGGCTATACGAGTATCATAGCCACTTTTTGCTTCACTGCTGTTTTGACGGCGCATCATCCGCTAGCGCTTCAAGGACCACTGTCACTTGGAGGACACTCAAAACTACGGGTGGTCCACCAATGACCCACCCACTGCTTCCAAGCTCTAAGGCAGTTCTAGTGAAAGGATCCACATTTTTAAGAATCCGAAATGCTCCCTTTGCCATGCTGGAGAAACTGATATCAGAACTCATCATCCAACAGCGTAAGAATACATCAGATAGATAGCAAAGCACTAAACACACACGGTGAACAGCTGTTTAATTAGGAACTACTTGTTAGCATTCATCAAGATAACTTTGCAATTGAGCCTTTCCTGTTCAACAAGCTCTGTTGTTTACACCACATCAAAACACCTCTTGTGTAGGTGTTCAAACTTGCAAGATATTCATAAATGGCTGGGGAAATTAAGATACCAAAGAAGATGGGGGCAGCAGTAGTGGTTTGAACTTTTGGGCCTTCCACGTGGCGCTTTTGATAGGAAGCTGAGAGCTTAGCATCTGAGGATGGATTCACAGGCGGTCAGAGCATCTGCTGGGATATGGGCAGCTTTGCGGATTCGGGCTCAAAGTGGACTTGCAGGCACTTACTGGCAGGAGCTGAGGTAGCCGGGCTGGCCTCAGTGTTCCTGCGAAAGCACTTATCCAAGTTTCCTTTTACCGGCAGTAGCCACAGGACTAAGCGTGAAGGCTCTCCTCCTTTTGTTTGAGCTTATGCAGAATGAATACTGTTGTAACCGACGTATGTTGTGGTACTAATCTAATGTTTAATCGTGTTGTTTTATTCTACAAGCTTTTTGTCACATTTCATGACAGGTTTAAAATTGTAAATTGGACTTTCCCAAAGTGTCTCAGTACAAAATACTCTATTTAATTTTACTTTTAGGGCCAGTGGGCTCCCAACCTGGGGGTACGGAGCCCACCCATAGCTTTCATAGGTGGTCATGAAGCCTTCTTGATTTTAAGGAGCGTGCTAGGAAAAAATTATACACAGTTATATCCTATTCTCAGATTCAATCATTTCTGTGACAAAACTAAATGAAACTGTTAGATTTAAACGTTAGATTACACCCATTAAATTCACCGTATTATATTATAACCCTCGGTCAGATAGACCAGGGGATGCCAATATAGGAAAAAGATTGGGAACCACTGACTTAAATAATACCGAAATGAAATACCAAACAGACAACCCAAACCAATCATCTTTTCATTAAACAATAAAGTATTTCCACCTGTTCGGGATGAGCACATCTTTTCATCTGTATTCCTGTCTTGCTCACCAGATCCTTGGTTTGTGAGAGTGATCATGTGCAAAGACAGGAGGAATCACAGCTTGTTGCTTCAGCCCATGTACAGTGACTGTATGTACACATAGCAACGTAGAAGGGATACAGGCTGTTTTCTTTGTCATCTTAGGAAGCATCCGGCAGAATTGGGGAAATCAAAAAACACAAAATATCATGGTCTCATGATATGTTTGGAAGGGGTTTAAAATGCTACAAAGT